CTTATATAGTATGTTCCATTATGATCAAAAGTGTGCCTATAAACAATTGTTATTTGTGTATTACATTACCGGTAGTATCTGACAGTTGTATCTTGATGTGTTTCCCCCCACAGGAGCTGCGAGTTATCCCGTGTGCTCACAGGTTTCATAAGAAATGTGTGGACCCCTGGCTGCTCCAGCATCACACCTGCCCCCACTGTAGACACAACATCATCGGTAAGACAATATTTAGCTTTGATGTTCAGATAAAACACTCTTTGTCATCAAGAGAAAAAAAACATATTTTATCGAAGGAACAAAAAAAGATACACTGAGATACAACAGAGACATTCATGAGGATATGTTGTTATTTTTCAGAGCAAAAGAAGGGGAATCCAGGACCAGCCTGCATGGACCCCGGCAACCCAGTGCACAGCCGGCAGCGGGTGGTGCTGCCGGTCCACTACCCCGGCAGGGTGCACCGCGCCGGCCAGGTGACCGCCTACCCAACCAGAACCAGCATGGACCCCCACGGAAACCCCATCACCATGCTGACCGTGGACCAGCACCCAGATCCTCAGGGTCTGTACACCCCCCAATCAACATCCGCCTTTCTACGGAGCTACCACCCCACCCTCCATCTGGACCACTCGGTCAACCCCCACCACTGTGGATTAGAGCACCGCGGCCCCCCCCGCCTACCCAGCACAGCCGCATCACGGTGCTTTCAAACGGCCAAAGTTCCATGGTCGAAATTTTTCCCGAGCAGCGTGTTTCTCGCAGTACGAGACTATGTACCAGCACTACTATTTTCAGGGCTTGACTTTCCCCCAACAGCCCGAGGGGGGCCAGGGGCCTGCTATGGCAGGGCAGCTTGGTGGAGGAGGGGGGGCCCATAAGGGCCACCACAGCAGGGCCTTCCAGCAGGGTCTGTTATACCCCACTGTGGTGCACATGGCACCAGCCTCTGCTACAAGAATTGGTGATACTAGCAGCACTTCTGGCCTGAACTGTTACCACGGTCACCGCTCGGTGTGCAGTGGTTACCTTGCCGACTGCCCTGGCAGCGACAGCAGCAGCAGCAGCTCGGGTCAGTGCCACTGTTCCTCCAGCGACTCCATGTTGGACTGTACTGAGGTCAGCAACCAGGGGGTGTACGGCAGCTGCTCCACTTTCCGCAGCTCGCTGAGCAGCGACTACGATCCGTACGTGTACCGGAGTAAGAGTCCATGCAGGGGGTCTGTGGGGGAGGCGGGGGCTGCGGCGTGCGCCACAGCTCCTGCTGAGGAATCCTCATCCCCTGTTCCCTTGGGACACGACTGCCTGCAGCTCCCCCCCGGAGCTTCAGGATATAACTCGGGGGACCACCTCTCCAACTGCAGCTTGGAGCCCAACTACAGCAGTCACTCATCACTGGAACCCAAGGAGAACAGCAACACTAGCACTACCTCAGCCGGGGCTCCAGAGCCCCCCAGAGCAGACAGGGGGAAGGGGCCACAGGAGGAGTCGGGGGAGCTCGGGGCTGCAGCCTGTAGCTGCTGCTTCGAGGGGCCCCCTCCCAATGTGGAGTGCAAAGGGCAGGACTCGGACCAAGCTGGGCCTCTGGCCTCAGGACGCTTTCACAGGGGGATGGACTTTCACAGCGCCTCCTCCAAGAACTACTTTGCCCCCGAGCACCTGTGCCCCCCCTCGGAGCAGGTGAGCTACGAAGGGCTGCCTTGCTGCTTCTACAAAGAGCTGAAGGTGCACAGGGCCGCGGGGGGGCGCTACGCCGAGGACTACGCTGTTAATGTGCAGTACGCAGACTCGGAAGCCTGTTCCGGGCAGGGCTGCTGCGAACTCAACCAGAGAATACCCATAATTCCTGAGGACACAGATTGTGAATTGGGCCCAGGGGCAGAGACCCAGAACAGTTTATTACCCATTAATGTCCCAGTGGAGGCAGAGGGGCGGACAGCAGAGCAACATGAGCCCAGGGAGAGGTATTTTACCTCTGGACAATTTAGAGGTCAGTCGTACCCTCTGGAGGAGGAGACCAGGGCTTTGTTTCACCCTCAGCTCTCTGCCAGCCCAGCTGCTTTGGGGAGCAGTACACCATCAAATGAGGGGGGTCTGGGTATATGAACTTAGAGCCCTGTGAGATGGGACTCAGTCTGAAGTATGTATTTGGTACCGAATCTGTCAGTCAATCATTGAAACCCTCAGCTGCCTTGTTGTAACCGTGCTCTCTGAGCGCTGAATGTTATCATCTTCGATTGTGTGGATTTCTACTGAAATGGCCTGTCAGTTCTAGACAGTGTGTCAAGTTCATTCCTGTGGCCATGAAACATCTCAGCACCATGTTTTCATAGCACTGAGACAAAGTGGAACTACAAATATAGATGGACTGAAACTAGAAGTAGGTTGGTTTGGTTTCTATCTGCTGCCATCAAGGGTAATTAAGTAACCTGGGCCCATTTCTTAAGAGATTTTAGTTTCTATATCTTTTCTGCAAAATCTAGGAATCTGCCTTTTTTTTTTTTTCTCCACAAAAAGATCACCCTTAATTCACAAACATCTACATGTATAGGTGCACGCATAAACACTGACTGCCTATAAAGCTTCAACCACCAGCTCGAATAGGTTGTACGGACATAGATATACCAAAACAGAAAGACTTGATTGTTTTATTTTATTTTACTTTTGTCAAAAGCAGGGAAATGGGTCCTTTTTAAGTGTCTGTGACCCACACATTTCTCTGAGGAGAAGAAGCTATATATTACAGAAAAATGCATAGAAATGTGAATGCAAGGCTGACACTGGTGTCTATTCAATATTAATACAGAATTTGTTTATGCATTGCATTTCTGTCCAGCAGTGGCCTACCTGTATGAAATGTGCCAGAGCAACATGAAAGCCTTACGCTGGGAAGCTGTTTGTAGCAATATCTAAAAGACACTGCGCCTCTTTGGGTTGTCTGAAGTGGCAGTGTCTCGGGGTCAGTAGATGTTTTTCAGAAGCAGAGTGTTGCACTCTTACTTTTTGTTTGGAAGCCCATAAAAGTGTATTTTTGCTGTCACTTACCCAATTTCCTAAATGAGACATGCTCTAAAAGATATCTAGTGTGTATCAAAAGGCCAAAGGAAAGTAGCTGGAAAAGACTCATTTTTCATAAGGGTTCCTTATTTTACTGTGACTTTTTTTTTTTAAAACAATGCAGTTATAAATACCACAGTGTATCTGTTTGAATCATATCGTGCCATGCATAATACATACTCGCGATATCAATGCTTGTCATTCATGCCTTTCTGTTTGTCCTGCAGACTGTTTTTATACTGTTTCTATGAAATATACACATTCTCTACACAGAGGAAGACTTTCTGAATAACCCTATTTATAAGTTAACCCAGTGCTGTAATCAAGTGAGAATCTAATCTTGCCTTTTGCATAGAGATATGTACCTACTGCAAATATAACATTTTGGGTACTTGAGTCACTATTTAATTTTTTTGTTATTGTTTCTAGCACTTAAAATGTGTACAAAAATTAATATTTTTTAATTTTTTAAGAATATAATTATTCTCTGTCACTACCATTACAAATGTTTGAAAGAAAAAAAGGCTAGAAATCAATCTGTGTATATTTCTGTACCTGTATAGCAAACACATTTCATAAATGGAAATGTTCTCTGAATATTTATTTACTAATATATTTATCTTTAAGCCATGTCTTATGTTCAGAGTGTATGAACGTTTGAGTTATTTGGTTGCTTTTTATTTTTGAGAAAAATCACTAACATGAGACTTTGTATATACATGGTAATTGCACACAAGACGATTAAATCTTCTCTGACCAAAAAACTGATTTTAAAACTTTAGTACCATACAGTTTTGTAATTAAAGTGTACAAAGATCTGTAAAATATACAGTTTTATTCAAGTAACTCATGTTGTGGTGTCCTTTTTATTACCTGCACTTCATATTCAGATTTTGACATTGTTTTATCATAAGAAGAAAGTCTTTGCCTTCTGTAGCTTTGAGAATAATCCATTCAGATACCGAGATCAACTTTTTAAACACTTTATGTGATGTTACAGAAAACTAAACTCAGTTGCTAGTAGTCCTAACATTGATACCACAAATAGAGGCATTTTGGGATTGCTTTCTGTATTTAGTACAGTTCAAGCGTCGCTGAACCGATCCCAGGAAAATATGTTCGCTCTTCATGTCGGACATGTTTTTCTGTCATTGCTGCAGAGAGGAGCTCTGGGGCTTTAGTTTGGCAGTTAGACAGAAAAGCGTGAAACACAGAACCAGTAGTATAGTTTGTAGAAAATAGTCAAACAAATTAAAACGTATAATTGTTTGTCGAAAATGTGTAAAAGAAAGACATTGTATAGTATGAGAAAAATATGCTAAAAACAGCATAGTATAGTACATTGAAAATATCGGAAAAAAAACACAGTATTGTATTTGAAATTATGGAAAAAACGACAGTGTGTTGAAAATATCAGAACACACAACATAGTATAGTACATCGAGAAAAAAAACATGTAATATATGTTGAAATTATGCAAAAAACGACAGTATAGTACGACGAAATACCAAAAATAACAATTTAGTAAGTCAAGAAGTAGCTAAAACTACGTAGAACACTAAGTCTAAACTATCAGAAAAAACAACGTAGTAAAGTATGTTGAAAATGTGCTAAAATAAAAAATTGCATATTTTCATTGCATATTTTTTTTCTGAGATTTTTGACATTCAACTATTTCATATAAAATAGAACAAGCATCAAAATATGAACATTTGAGTTATTCGGTTGCTTTTAATTTTGAGAAAATTCCATGGAGACGTTGTATATTCATCGTAATTACAATCAGGACAATTAGATCTTCTCTGACCAAAAAGTCCAATGTATTCCAGTATCTCCTGTGATGGTATCCTCCTTTCCATTACCTGCATTTCACATGGAGATTTTGACATTGTTTTAACAGCAGAAGAAATACATTGCTTTGAGAATAATCCATTCAGATACAGAGATCCTTTTAAACATTCTTTATTTGTAGCCAAAATGTAAATATTACATCAAAAATATATGAAACAAGCTGCACATAAACTCACTTGCTAGTAGCCTTAACACTGATAGCACACATATAGTGGCATTTAGGTTATCAGTGCAGCATTCTTTACCAACAAAGGTATTTAGTACAGTCTAATCGTTGCTGAACCAAGACCATCAGCAAGGAAATAAATATGTCCACCGACATGTTTCTCTCATGGTGCAGTCATTGCTGAGAGAGGAGCTCTGACGTTCATGTCTGAGAACTCTGCACACAGTTTTGAATCCAGTGCATCTCACAGCTTGAAACCAGAGTGAAGAGCCACGACTCCACCGGTGAGGTTGCAGTACTTCGCAGAGTAGAAACCTGCGTCCTCAATCATACCTTTAAACTCCTCCTTCAGGAGAGAAGAAAAGGAAATGACAGTGAGTCCACAAAGTTACACTGCAAACAGCTTGAAAAACATGAACTCAAGGAAACATACTCAGTTATTCAGTAGTTTTGTCCTTTAAAAAAAAAAATGATCGCTACGATTTTTCCCCCCATTATCTGACCTTAAAATGTACTTAGCAAAAGGTCTTTAAAATATTAAAAAGGTATTAAATGTAACATCTGGATTCCTGCACATATCCTAAATTAGACCATTAAAATCAGAAAGTGATGACATTTTTTATTAAATACCCCCAACTGGAGTTGAATCAAATCAGAGTAGAAAAGAGTAGACGGAAGAAAAAGAAAATGTTCTTACCTGGTCCGGGAACTTGCGGATGCTTTCTACCAGATACTGGTAAGACTTCCAGTCTCCAGCTATCACCTCTCCCAAAACTGGGATCATCTGGAAACTGTACACGTCATAAAGCCTGAAAACATGAAACAGGATCAAAGTTAGTGAGCTGAAACCTGCTGCAGATACACTCATTTTTCAAAATCCTTCTTATATGAAACTAATCGTTTGTTTGTGATGAGTTCTTACCCTATAAAAGTATTTTAAAAAGAATAACACAGCGCCTTTAAAAAAAAAGAAATTCTTATTTTACATTCATTTGAAATTGACCAATTTGCCTAATGGGCGTACTTTTACTTTTGTACAAGATCTGAGTTACTTCTTCACCACCTCTGGCCATGGAGCAACAACAGGTCTTCCAGAGTATCCACTCTCCTTGCCTCTCGTACTCTGCCCAGCCAGTCACAATTTAACAAGCCTGAAGTGGCTTTAGGCCACAAAAGCACAAGAGGGCGTGTTCAGCCAAGGACACAAAAGTCCACTCAGAAAAAGAAACAGAGGACAGAGAGAGACAGAGACAGAGACAAGAGAAGAGAGAGAGATGAGGAGAGAGAGAAGAGAGATACAGAGAGAGATGAGAGAGACACAGAGACAGGAGACAGAGACAGAGACAGAGAGAACATAGACGAGACAGAGACTAAGACATGATACAGAGATACAGATACATTAGAGATAGACAGAGATGACAGAGACCAGAGATACAGAGACAACATGAGATAAGAGAGATAGAGACAGACAGATATAGTACATACCGATGAGACAGGACAGATATAGAACATGACGAGAGAGACATAGAGAGACAGACAGAGATACATACATACATACATACATACATATATATATACATATATATACATACATATATATACATACATACATACATACATACATACATATATATATACATATATATATATATATATATATATATATTTCTAATTTGTGCTCAGTATAATCGAGCATCTATGGGATTTGTCTTAATGTAGGCAGCATACATGTAACTTAAAAGAAAAACAACTGCTTGTATGTGGTGAGACAGGGTACTCTACTCTTGAATACGACAACCTCAGAGAGAAACAACAAGCTGTTTGTATGTTTTGCAGGATCTGTGAAGGCAGTGATGAATCAACAGAGACTCTCTGAGAGTCACACGGTTGATTCATATTCACAGTTAGTCACAATTCCTTAGAGAGCGCTGCTCCTCACCTTGCTAGAACAGGATTTGTCACTTTGCTGAACTCCAAACACATAAACCTGCCACCGGGCTTCAGGACACGCAGAGCCTCCTGCAGAGCCTGAGAACCAGAAAAGAATGAGTGCTGACATGCTTAAAGGGGCCCTATAATGCTCATCTTCAGGTTCATATTAGTATTCTGTGCCTCTACTGTGACATTACTCCATGCTTTAATGTTCAAAGAGCTCTTTATTCTTCTGAAACCAGAGCCCAGGTTGGTTAGCTGGCCGGCTCTGTTGTGATTGGTCAACCGCTCAGAGATGTCCCATCCCTTAGCCTATCAAGTACAAAGTGTTGGAGCATCTACTTTAATTTTGTATGCGTCTCTTTAAAAGTGTTGATTCACAAGGACTGTTATGTTTATGGTGTGTTGATTTACATGGACTGTACTTTTATGATTATTTTTCAATGTGTTGTTTGATCTGGACTGTTATTTGTAATGTGTGCTTTCTCATGTGGACCCCGGGAATATGAATGAACAGTCTTCATAGAAGCATCTGAGCACGAGAGAAGCTGTAGTGATAATGCAATCAGTTACCTGATCTATATGGGTGACGTTTCGAATCCCAAAGGCGATGGTATAAATATCGAACTGGTCATCATCAAAGGGCAGCTCCTCTGCGTCCCCCACTACCCAGGACAGACCTGCCGCACACAGGCACACTTCAGCAAACGTTCTCAACTCAGATCACAAGGTGGAAGAATAATGATTATGTACACCATTGAGATCATGCATGGTCGCACAGAACTCTCAAACAAGTGTTTGCATAATATTATCTGAGACATCCAGCTGTAGATTTAAGGCTGCACAATACAAGAAAGATATTTTCAGTAACATTGTTGAATACAATAATATTACCTGCAATAAATAAACTGATTTTAAAAGTGTACTTAATTCTGCTTTACTGCTGCTCTCAGTATATCGCTAAAATGCAACAGATTGGTTTTTGAATAAAAGTCAAATACAGCAAATTTAAATGAAAACTAAAAGGCACCAATAAAAGAACTGAATGTTAGCTAAAGCTCTTGTTTATGGCGGCCTGATTTAGAAATGTCTAACAACAATTATGAATACAAATGGAATTCTGACTAAAAGCATATTAATGATAAATATTTTGAGTTTTATAACTGAAACCAAAATAAAACTTTTGGAATCTTTACTCTAAGATTTTTTTTTTTGCCATATCACAAATGTATTATAACTTTGTCATATAATATAACGTATGGACACATTTGGGCAATAACAAAAATGGCTGTCTGGACGCAAGGATGGAGGTGAATTCAGGCTCCTATAACTAGAGCTGCACTGATGAACAAGAAAACTTATTTAAACCATTTAAAAAATAGATTAAACATTTAAAAGTAATTTTCCATGCAAAGATGTTTAAAGCCTCTTTAAGATGGAGATGTCCGGCATTTCTCTGTTTTGTATCAAATTAAACTGAATATCTTTCGGATATGGATGGCCGAAACAAGACATTTGAAGTCATCACTTTGGACTCTAAAAGAACCATGTGATTAATAAGAGAACATAATCTGCAGATGAATCAATAAATAAATAATTGTTATCTGCAGCCCTACATTTGTCCCTATGACCTGTACATATATTGTGAAAAGGTCATCCCAAAAAGCTGACCTGTGTTTCACATCAGAGGGAAAACTCAGGGATCACATGTCTTGAGTTTATCAGAGCTCACCAGCACTGATGCCCAGGCCGTCAGCTTTCTGCTTTCCTACTCTCAGCATCTCCTTGTTGATGTCACAGACCACCGCTCTGGATTCCTGGGGCCCGTCCTCCTCCTCTGTCGAGTAGTTGTTAGAAATGTCCTGCCACGACGGTGCCTGCATTAACCGGGCCGCACGCCGCTTCTGCCTCTCTTGCTGAAAACGAACGTACTCCAGAAAACGGAACGCAATGTCACCTGCAAAGGGGGAATAATCACAACAACAAAAAGAAGTCAGTGAGGTAAGGTTTAAGTTTGATGGTATGTAGAAAATACACAAGAGCTGCTTTACCTGTTCCACCGGCCACGTCCAGGAGTCTCACCCCGGGCTGGGGGTGCATGACGTGGAGCAGCGTGTCTTTCCACAGTCGGTGAACCCCCAGACTCATGGCATCGTTCATGGTGTCATACTTCTGCGCCACGTTCTCAAACACCTTATACACTGAAAAACACAAAGAGAGAGCATCTTTTCCCTGGAAGCTGACTCACATATTCTATCTAAGAATATACTTTAGATGGTTTGTTTTCACTTGCTTTAATGTTTTGTGATCCAGGAGAAATGTTTTAAATCTCAAGTGACAAAGTCAATATATAAAGTTGAATGTCTTCGGTTACTTATTGGCATGTTAATCATATTCTAAATGACTTGCCTGGGTAAATAAAAGGCAATTTGTATTTTAAACTTTCGACAAGGTATCTTTATTTGAAATTGCGGCTCAGGCTGAAGGGTCGATCGGACCAGAAATACAGAATGTGGACCGTTTTGTGGAGAGGTGCCAGGCGCCCTTGAGCAAGGCACCGAACCCAACTGCTCACTGGTGCCGGACAGACTGGCATGTGTGCACCTATCTGTATTACAATGCATGTGTGTTTTACTGTGTGTGTGTGTGTGTGTGTGTGTGTGTGTGTGTGTGTGTGTGTGTATTAAAAGTGTTTCTATAAGGAAAGGAAATGGTTTTTTATTCTTGACATTATGCCAAACACAAGTTTGATGAGGGGAAAGGTTTTTGAGTGTTTATTAGTATAACGTTGGGTAAATATTGACCCAGAATAACAAGTTAACAACATACAGAAATAGTATGCTCTGTGCTAAATCAGCCAATAATTAAAGAGGTTGTATTGACAGAAATGCATTTTCATGGATTTAGTGTAAGCCGAATTGTCTGGCACATCCTTAAGATCCCCACAACATCTGAAATACTTTCCCTGACGGTGTGTACACACCGTCAAGGAGCTTTTAAGTAGTGACATGTTTGAATTAAGTTTGTTATCATACAGAGAGACACCTCACCTCTCTTTGCCTTCTCTGTCTCCGGCACCGTTTCAAAACCGAAGTGCGTGCTTCTGTCTCCGGCGGCCTCGCTAAAGCACCGACAGCTCGGCGGCTCCCAGCAGCCAGCGGGCCGGCCTGGAGCTCCAGCAGCGGTAACATTAACATTTCTGTGGGAAAGACGGATCACCCTCCGAAACAGGAGTCTCATGGAGGCGGCCATCTTGCCAAATTATGCAACTATGCGACACTCTGTCGTCATTCATAGGCGACGGTTACTCTTTTTATCAGACCGCCCATCAGTGTATGAATTCAATGTTTTTAAATGTCAGCTGTTTATTATGCCACAACAGTTAGTTGTTGTTCTCAATATCTGGCTTTTGGTACAATGTTCAAATATGTTATAAAGATAAGTAATAACACGCTATGTTAAAACAAAAGTGAGTTTGAGGAATAATAATACAAAATCAAGAAACAAATGATGATGTATTATTATCACATTTTAAGATGTGATATGCTACTTTATTGTTCCCCAACAATAAACCCTGATTATTTTTTAAATAGGCCATACTGTAGTATTCACATTTACATTTGCTACTTTCCCTTAAATAAAAGATCTGAGTAACTCTTTCACCATTTGATTATTAATTGTTATGAGGACTTGCAAACGCTTGTTCTATGTGATATCCAAGGCTCATTGGTCACAGAGCCTGTACCCATGGGCGGTTCTAGGGGTGGGAGACAACGGTGGCCAGTGCCCCTGTAACAATGAGCTTTGACCCTTCTGTGGCCCCCCTCCAAAAGAAGAGTTCATAATGATAATACAATGTCAGGTAGCATTGTGCTGTAACTAGCCAATTTTTTTTTCATAATGTAATTTAATAATATGAATACTGAACTACTGAAACTAATTATGTTACTAAAGAACCCCTGTTTTTAACCTCTAAGTTGCCACAGGGAGAAAATGACTTCTTAATTTATTAATAATGGCTAAATATAATAGTCAAGCACCTAACAAAAATGCAGCTTTCAGAAAGAATAGTGGATTTTGTGTTTTACACACAGGAATAATCTGATGTTAAATGCTGCAGAACACAGAGCTGCGCTGAGAGTTCTACCTGTGTGTTCAGTGTTAAAAAGCATGTATAACAACCATGCTGTATAATGTTCATTTTTATCTTGACTATAATGTGATGTACATCCTTCTTTTAACCTAGGGTTGTGTAGCCCTCGCTGTCAGTAGGCCTACTCCTCACACACTGCCCATTATTCTATAACAATATAAAACATTTCCTTTAGTGATGGTAAAGAGAGGTAGAGATGAAAGACCTTTCTCTATAATACTAATTAACTTTGGGTGCCCGGACTTGTCAAACATACCTCCATCTAGTGGGCAAGTGAAATCATTACATCTTCAAAAATTACCACTATTGTGGATTAACATCTTTGTCCAGAAAAATGTCTAATCTGACTTTGAGGTGAGATTATTCTATTGACTACTGTTTCTTAAATCAAGAATGAACTTTGAACCCACACTTTTAAGCTGACACGGACGACGTGTCCTGAATATTAAAAGAAAGATAATTAAAAACAAAATCAAATCTCTTTACTTCTCTCTCTGCAGGTTTTATTGGAACTACTTTCTGCTGAAGAAATAGTCCCCCCCTGACCTTTTTACAGTTTTCAATCACTGTACAATATTATAATGTTGCTTGTTTATTTGCACCCATCAACATAGTCAGCAAGTAACCTATATGTTTTAATGCTAAATATATTTGATGTCCATGCATGCCCTCTCTTCTATGAGTTAAAACTACATCCGTTGACTGAAATTGAAATAAGTAATATCCTTGCAGTCTATAAAACAATGTCAATCCAAAAACAGGTGCATAAATTGGGTCTGTACAATAAATGTGTGTTTTTAAATGAGCAGGAAATGCAAAACCCATACTTTATTCTCCAATAAATACATGGACATATAAATAAAAAAGGCCTATCAATACTTTAAATGTCCAATAAGTCACGTTACATTGACGCATGACGCAGGTTGCTACTGTATGGAGCTACGACGTACAGTTTATATTTAAGAAGCTCGTTCTAAAATCACCATTTCACTCTTTGGAGGAGAAAGCTGTTACTCGACGATTTCAAGAAATTGAACAAGGTATCACTGAAAAAAACGAGCCCACTTCAACCCAGTTCAATTTTACAAAAAAGTTATCGAAGAAAATGTGAGAATTTAATGAGTTTTATTTAATAAAATTACTTTTGCCTTGCCTTTTTTTTCTCTACGATTTGAGCCGTCGAGACACAACCATGAACTGACTCGATTAGTCGAGCTAGTGTAGTCAAATATTGGGACAAATTAAATATATTTAATTTTTGCTGTAAATAACCAACATATGAGGACAGACGTAACAATTTCACATCCTGCAATAGGCCTACTTATGTAACATTTAGTTTGAGTGTAAGTTTAAACTCTTTGGAAAAATACAATTTTGCATAGGCCTATCGCAACACAAGAAGTTTCTTTTAATAAATATATGTTGCATTAGACAGCAAATTGTTGTTTTAAAGACACCATAGCTTAACCTATGATATGTAGTCCATATTCAATGATTATTTGATGATTTTGTGATCAATATTTAAATATTTCAGTGTTTTCAAATTAAAATTGACATTGCAGACAAATTAAGAAATAAAAAGAAACTGACATTAATATAAAGAGTAGAACATAGCTGGTATAATCATCATTATCTGCAGGTTCAATTCATTATATATTGAATTCAATGTAAGTTAAATATATTTATCTTGAATAGGCTATGTTAATCATTGCAGATGTCTGAGTTGTCCTCTCATCTCTGCGATCACAACTACTGGAGGAGGGATCCCAGCAGCTCACAGAGCAGCACCACCCGCCAGGTAGGCTACACTCAGCACCTGAAACATTCCTGTCAATTCTGTTAGATTAAATATCAGTTGTAGATATGAATTGTACATTATCTTTAGGTTGTAGTGCTTTGATATCTGATCATTGTACAGTACATTTCTCTAACTGTTACCATCTGTAAATCTATTGAGGCTACATATTATAATATTTACAAAAACAGTTTGCCACATTGTGAAAGTTTGATAACATGCACCTTTTCCTTCTAAATTACCAAACAAAACAGGAAGTGTCTTTCTAAAGAAATCCTGACTAGTGTTTTATTAAATGTGAAACAGAGAAATATTATAAAAGAGCAAAGCTTACGTACAAAAATATCCATCCTTAAAAGACATTAACAAAGATTATGATCATTAGAAAAGCAATCCAATCATTATTAATCATCAATTACTTAAGCGATACCCTAATACCTTACAAAATGACCCCCATCTCATTGTCTCAAAATCTCTCAAAAAGGAAAATCGACTGGGAAACTGTTCAGTGGCATAGACAGTTATCTTGAAAGAAATTAATCTAATAGCAAATGGGCTTTTCTGATGCTGACGCTGATTTTTTCTTGCAGTATAATGATGAAACGTTCGAATGTAATATTGAATGCCCGTGTACCTCGAACATTTTGATAGTTAGCTGTTGGGGATTTAAAAAAAAAAAATGTTCCCTTTCATTTCTACATAAAACGGTGTATTTACAATGAATTTGGAAGACAGTGAAGATATTTTTGAGAAGAGAAAGTTGACATAGCAATGCCTCCAACTCCCGTCCTACTGAAATGAGCCTCAGCTGATCTGTACGTTTTTTTTCTATATCTCTGGCCCCCCTTGCTCGATTTTGATGGTTGAAACACCTTTCTGACCGTTAGAGCCAATAGAATCGAAGGGGGAGGCTCCCTCTCACACACATGGTAAAAAAAAAAGGTGGGGGCTTCGCGCATGCAGTTTTGCATCAGAGCGAGCCTGTACTCTAGCTCTGATTGATTGATTGATTGAAAAGTTTATTAACAGCTTGTATATTGGGTACAGTACAGTACAGCTCAAAACATACAATTGTTAAGGGGATGCAGACCAGAGAAAGACTTTCGTCTTGTTTACATCAGGGTCCCCCATTTCCAATTCATCATATCATTTAAGACATATAAGACATATTTGACATACAGATGGCTTATTTACAATTTACATACAGGTGGTTTTTTACATACAGATGGCTTATTTACAATTTTCATTTTAGATTTCGTTCTAATACATCCTAACCGGACATTTAAGACATACCAAGTCTACAGATATACAGTTAGTAACAGAGTCTAAAATGCGAGTATATACATAGATGGGGGGGGGAAGCTGTCCATTGTACGACAGGTTGAGATTTGTACCATTACCGGGGCCAGTTTTGCAATGCTTTCCCCCGAAGGTGCTCTTTAAGAGAGGTTTTGAAGGTAAGTATAGTTTTACTTTCCTTTACAGTTGTGGGAAGAGCGTTCCACCTTGATGTGGCATAATTGCGATATGTGTATTCCCCTTTTTTTGTGCCAAATCTGGGTTTTACATGATTTGTGGAGCTCCCTCTGGTGTTATGATCATGGTATTCCTTGACCTTTGGGAAGAATTTTGACATGTACATGGGTACCATAGAGGTGTAGTGGATCTTGTAGACCAGGCCCATTGCAAGTAGCTGTACTCTGTCGTCTACTCTAAGCCATCCTAGGTTGTCAAAGTGGGCAGAGGTGAGGTGGGTTCTAGATGAAAGGTCAAGCAGTAGTCTGACCAGTTTATTTTGCGATGTTTGAAGTTTTATTTTTAGCGCCTTGGAGGTGCTATGGTACCATGACGTGCAAGCATAGTCATAGTACCCTTGAATGAGTGCTCCTGCCAGAGTTTTCAGGGTGTTTTTGTTTACCAGAGAGGAGATCCGGTATAGGAATCTAGTTCTTTGATTGACTTTTTTTATTACATTGGATGCCATTTTGTCACAGGAGAGGTTTGCCTCAAGAATAGATCCTAGGTATGTAATTTCCTTCTTACTTGTGACAATAATGTCACCCACTGCAACTGAGAAGTCGTCGGATTTGCTGAGATTATGTTTCGAACCGAAGAGAATGGACTCTGTTTTACCCAGGTGTAATGATAATTTATTATCGGCGAGCCAGGTGCAGATTCTGCCGAGCTCGGAGCTGAGGGTTTTTTTCAACCTGCAATCTGCTCCTGTCAGAGACCAGCAGGGCTGAGTCGTCCGCGAACAGGAACAAGTTGCAGTCACATGCTGATGACATGTCATTTGCATAAATTAGGAACAGTAACGGACCTAATATGCTTCCTTGTGGAACACCACAGCTCACTGGGAGGGGGGGGGACAGAGTACCGTTTACCTCCACCATCTGTTCTCTCCCCTCCAGGTAGGATTGCATCCAGCTCACCGATAGTTTATCAAAACCAATTGCTTTTAGCTTGTCAATCAGAATGG